GAGCGCGCCCCCGAGGGCCAATCCCCGGGCCGGACGGGGAAGGCCCGGGCCAATCAGCATGCTCGGGCGGGGCCTCAGTGATGCTCTCTGGGCGGGGCGAACCCCAAAGGGGAAGATTTAACCCCTTCTCTCGGTGGGGCCTGGCTCCCGCGGCGCGGAGGGGCCCAGCGCTCGGGCAGGAGTCGGGGGAGCTGCAGAACTGGGCCCGCGGCCCCGGGTTCCTGAGCGGGGTGGGGCTCCCACCAGGTCCTGACTTCCTTCCGACGCCCCCTCCCCCCGGGGCGGGGAAGGAAAGCCCCAAGCAGGCGGGATGCCTGGGGCCGCGGCTAGTGACCGGAGCCCTAACCCGCCTTGGGGGTATCCGGGTCCAGGGGGCCTCTCGTGCCTCTGCGGGCGCCACCCTCGGGCTTTCCGGACCCAGATCGGTCATGCCCCTGAGACAGTAAGTGCCCAAAGCCTCCCTTCAACTCTGGACTCGACCTGAAACGACGCCGAGGTTTCCCTCCCCGGCACGTCGCGCAGCCCGGGAATCTTGCCCAAGGTTTCTGCTTGAGGAGCGGATGTCCCCACGGCTCCAGACCCCAGAGGCTGGTAGGGGTCAGTGCTGTCAGTGGGCCGAAGGGTTAGCAAGGACAGTTCCTGGAGTTAGTCTGACCCCTGGCCAGGGCAAATGTAAGACTTAGGAAGTCATTGGGCCGCTGCCTTGTCCAAGGAGGGGGTTTCCCTTGGGCATTTACTCCTAGCACCTGTGCTCATACTTCAGGTCCGAATCACAAGGTGACAGGCCAGAATTGAGGGTAAAAGGGATGGGAACCTGGTCCAAATCTCCTATGAAATGGGCTAAAAATAGCTGAATATTCTTAGGAGAAGGTAGTGCTCAGATTTCTCTCAAAGGTCAGCCTGGCTCCAGCCATTCATAGCCACCCTCCTACCCCACCAAGCAAAAGGGACAATAGAGTCCTGGCCGGGTGGCTCAGTTGGTTAGAGCGTGGTTGTCCTGATATGCCAAGGTTGCAGGTTCGATCTCTAGTCAGGGCACATACAAGCAGTGGCCAATGCATGCATAAATAAGCAGAACAGCAAATCAGTGTTTTTCTTCCCCTCTCTCTAAAAGCAATCAATAAAATAAAATAAGACAATAACCATTTTCTATAGAAGTTTATTCCCAAAACAGAGCGCGGCTTCACGGAACAATTTACACAGACAGGAAAAGGGGCCATGGGGCTAAAGGGGGCGACCCCCAGAGAGGGGCATCTACAGAACCTAGGACATAGCAAAGACAACCCCCTCTCCGCACAGTGGACCCCCTCAACCCTTCAGGGACTGGGGTCTTTCTGGGTAAGGAGAGCTGGGGTCCTGGCTGGCAGGATTTGGCACCAGTCAGTAAAACAGAACTTTTAGTCTCCTTGGCAACTGTCTCCCGAGAGTATTTGTGGGGGAGGGGGATGTCTGCATAGACCCCCCCGCCCCCACAGGACCACTGTTCCCAGTGGTAAGAGGATGCCTACTCTTGAGGCCTTCTGGGTCTACTGTTCAGCAGGGAACTCAGAGCCGACTTTTGGTCTGGGAGAGCTAGGGGTCAAAAACCCCTCCAGATGGCCAGGCCCAGGGTCCTTATTGGTGGGATCCTCCAAGCCCCTCTCCCACTTTTTCTACCTTCCACTTGTAAACAAAGGGGGGAAAACATTCTCAACTGTAAACAAAGTGTAAAAGTTCAAAGTTGTAAACAAAGTTTTAAAATGCTTTAAATCTTGACAAGTAAACAAAGTAACATAATGTAAAAGTCCCCAGTTCTGGACATCAGACAAAGGAATAAAAATGAGAGTTTTGTGAACAGGGTCCTAACAGTCATTTCTCCCTTTGGAAGGGAATAAAGGAGGGGTGGAACTGAGTCACTTCCTGCAGCCCAGGTGCCTAGGGCCAGGGAGGCTCCTGTAAACATGGGAGATAGTGGCACCTACATTCGGCATTTTCAGTTCCCTTGTTTCTGTTCCCTTTGCTCTCGCTCCTACCCCACCCTTTAGAATAAATTCTAGGTGGGGGCAGTGTTAGGGAACTAAGTGGCACCACAGACAACTTTTGCTCACAGCAGGGGCAGGGGCTGGATCAAGTCCCCTGAGTCCACCCTCTGCAGGAATGTCTGATTAGAGGCCTGAACCCCTCCCCATGGGAGAAAGGGAAGCCTTGCTCTGTAAACATGACATCTGCTGCTCCACCAGCACCCACAGCATCAGTCCTAGGTCATAAGGCAGTAAGTGGCAGGGACTCCACATAATAAACATCCAAATCCGAGGGGAGGGGCGGCATGAGCGAGCCCCTGTGAGGAGGTCAGAGGACCCTTGTTTCCAAGACCAACCCCCAGTCTCAGAAGTTTGGCCCTCGGGGCATCCAGGAAAAAAAAACAAAGATCGTTCTGTACTTTGGGCCCTGACAATATTCATATCAACCTGGGGGGACAGGAGGCAGTTGCCTGAATCCACCCCAGTAAGATGAGAGAAAAGAGCGTATAGTTTGCCAGGAACCCAGATTAGGCCAAACTCTGTATCTCTTTCCCTCTGGCCCCCTCCCCCTCCCAGCCCAGCCTCAGAACCCCAGGCAACAGAAAAGCTGAAAAATAACATAAGCATATCTCTCTGGTTACAAAGGTACAAAAAGTATAAAAGTCCTCCCCTCAGTTCCCAGGCCCCGCACACCTGTTACACGCATGCTCACAGGCTCACGGATGAGCTCAGCACTGCAACAGGGAAAGGTGGGGGCTGCCTTGGGATCAGCCCTGGACTCCTCGAGTCTCTTCTGTTAGCCAAATCCTCCACTGCCCTCAGCTGGTCCTCGGCTGTCCATCTGCCGCTCAGGAGTGACCCTCACTTCTGGGAATTCTGCAGAATTGAATGTGGAGGTCAAAGCTGGTTGGTGAGGGGACTCTGGATGCCCCGAATGGCCCTGGGACTGGGCTATTTCCCCTCACCTCCCCAACACTTTTGCCTCTCAGTCCCTAGCCCCTTCGGGCCCATTCTGGGGTTCTCTGATCCCTCACCCTTTCTGGGACCTCCAGACCCATCAGCAAGGCTCCTTGGCTGGCCACCTGTCTTTTCTCTATGCACTTAGCAAGCACCTACTATGTACAGACACCATGTCAAACACTTGACAGATTTTGTCTCAAAAATCTCCACATCTCAGAGTTTATTACTACAGACACATTTTGCAGATAAGGAAACAGGCTCAGAGGGGTCAGGTGTGACTCCAGAGCCTGAACCCTTGCTCAGTTTCCCCAGCTCCCTGCCCCCAGAAGCCAGGGCCCAAGGCTAGGCTGCAGGAGGACCCAGGTGGTGCTTACAGTTCCCTCTGATCCCCTCCCCCAGCACTCCTCCAGGCCCCTGGGCACCAGGCCCCCAAATCCCTTGCCCAGCTCTCCTTCCTTTCTTTTCCCCCAACTCTGCTCAGATTCTGTTGGTCTCCTGTCCCACTCCCAGGGTCCCCTTTCCCCCAAAGCCTTCTTACCCTATAGACCTCCACAGAGCGTGACCTAGCTGTTCCTCCTCAAAACTCAACTCTCCTTTGACTTAAGGTCTGACAACTCCTGGTTCCTGCGCACTAGCTCAAGCCCTTTGTAAGGCACGCACCTATACTTCCTCTGTAGCCCAGGGGGGACAGGGGAGGTTGGCTGGCCCCAATCATACAGCCAGCAAGTCCCAATTAACCACAGCCCCACTCCCTGCCAGATTTCTGCCCTAAGCCTGTGGCCGCCTGGCTGTGCTGAGCCTGGGGGTGTCCACACTGTCTGCCAACCCACACTCCATCCTGGGGCAGACACAGGGCAGAGTGCACAGGGGGCTGCCCTAAGCTGATGAAGGTGTGAGCAGGTGGCTGGACCCTGCTTACTCTGAGTCTGGCGACAGCTCTGAGATGCTATGGGACGTGGCAGAGCGTGGGGTGGAGGGCCCGAGCGCAGAGGCTGTGGCAGAAGGCGTGGCAGTGGTGTGAGGGCCCGAGGGCGTGCTCGAGGACTGCACAGAGGAGGAGAGCGCTGAGGAGTTGAAGGAGGCGAGGATGGAGGAGAGAATGTCCAGCTGCTCTGTGGAGGGGCCATGGCTAGGGCCTCGGGCTGGGTCCTCCCGAACTCTGAGCAGCTGCGGGGGCGGCCCGAGGCCTTCTCGTGAGGGGTGCCGGCTAGGCACGTGGTCCAGCCGCTCCCCTGAGTTCGATCTCCTGGACAGAGAGTCCAGGGGCCTGGACGGCAAGAGGGGGTCCCTTGAGAGTTGCCGCTGGGGAGACAGGGGCAGAGGAGGGGGCTGTGGGTCAAGGTCCCGCGCCCTGTGGGGCGGGGGGAGTGTGCTCAACCACTCGCAGGGTGCCCCCAGGTCCAGTGCATCCCGTGACCTGAAGCGGCCAGCCATGGCTCCAGGGTAGTCCCTGGGTGGCTGCCTCCGTGGTAGGGTGCTGCCCCGATCCCTGGGCTCCAGGCGGCCTGGCACGGCATCCAGGTGTTCCTGGGAACCTGGCCGACTCAGGGGCCGCAGAATAGGGGCAGGGGCCTCCTCCAGTCGCTCACGGCTCAGTTGCCGCCGGAGGAGCAGGTCCAGCTGTTCACGAGAGGAGTAGCGGCTGGCTGGCTGCGAAAGGCTGCCTGTTCCCCCTCCAGCATAGATGCGCCCATAGGAGGCAGCCGGCACGGCACGGTGGCCCAAGGTGGCTGCACGGCACCAGGACAACTCGGGGGTGCCTCGGGTCTGTGGAACCAGTGGGCACTGCAATCGGTTCTTCAGGATGCCTGTGGGGGAACAATTGGGGGGTAGGGTGTGTATATTGGGGACAGGAACTCCCTGGGTCTAGCAACATGGTAGCCTTGGGATCCCTGTGACACAGGGTTGGGGGCAGAAACCCCTTGGAAAGGGGCAGAGGCAGCTCCTGGGAATTCCAGAGTGGTAGCAGGACAGGGTTCAGAGTGGGGAGGTAGCAAACGCCTGGGTCAGGACAAGAGAGTCCCCATGCGCAGGTGTAGGGACAAACCTCCCCGCTACCAGGTCAGGGTGGGGGGAAACCCCAGGTTCTGGTGATGCAGACAGGGTCCAAGGGGAGAAATCCCCTGAGAGGGGTCAGGGGTCCCTGTGATGCAGAAGCGAGAGAGAAACCCCTGAGTTGCGGCAGGGACAATATCTCAGGACCCTGGAAAGCAGGGTAGGGGGAAGAAACCCTCCAGGTTAGAGGAGGAGCTCTGAGATCTGAGGCACAGCAGCTCCTAGGGTACCCACAATGCAGATTGGGGTTGGGGAAGGGGGAAGAATCCCCTGGGTTGGGGCAGGAGTGGGCCCTAGGGTTTCTGTGGTGCAGACCAGGGTAAGGGGCAGGCATTCTCAGGTTATGATGGGGCAGTCCCCAGGGACTGTGATGCTGGGTAGAGGGGCAGAGCCCCCCAGATCCGAGCAAAAGGAGCTCTCAGGATCCCTGTGAAGCAATTTGGGATTAGGAGAATGAAATCCCCTAGGTCAGGGTACAGGCAGTCCCTGGGGTCCCGCAGTACAGGCCAAGGTCAGGGATCATACCTTTCCTCTGGCGCTGGGCCCGACCCAGGGAGGTTTCATCCCCACTGGTCAAGGCCAGGTCTGGCTGGTTGTTGTTGGCTGCATCCTTGCTGGTGTCCAGCCCCAGGCGCCTTTCGGAGCCCCAGGTCTGCAGAGCGCAGGGAGCAGCCTCACACTCCCCCAGGGCTGGCCAGTAGGACAGGAGGTCATTGCCATCCACATCTGCAGAGCCAGGGAAGGTTACAGGAGCCTCTGGGATGATCCCTCTGGGTGACTCATGACCCCTGGGATCCAGACTCTGTGATCCCTGACCCGAAGGACTCTGAGACCCTGGCTGTTCTCACTGAGCACAGGTAGGAACAGGTGTCTCTCGGAGATCAAGGTACCCATCCAGGGAGAGGGGCACTAATAAGCCCTCACTCTCAACTGGAGGTAGACAGAGGCTGGAGGTGGGGAAACCTGATGGCTGAGAGTGGACCTCCAACCCTCAGGGAAGACCAGGGGCTGGAGGGATGACATGTCACCCTATAACACCCCTGACCTTGCTTTGTTTCCTGGGCTGTTCCTGGGTCTCTGGGCAGCAGAATACCCCCAGTAGGCTGGATGGGGAGAGGAGTGCAGGGACTCAGTGATGACCCCAGGTTCCCAATAGGCTGGTCCCAGGAATCCTCAGGGGATAGTAGGGTCCCTGGGTCACACACAAGTGGAATAGAGGGTGTCTCTTGGTCACCCATGGGGTCAGAGGGTCCCATCACCTTTGGGGTGGGTGAGGAGCCTCTCACTCTGGGCAGCCCGGCAGAGTGGACGCTGGAAACGCCCCCGTGTCCGGCCGTTGTCCTCGCTTTCTGAGGATGGGATGGACAGACTTCTCTCCTCCTCTAAGGACAAGTCACTGTCGGAGTCCGAGTCTGCACCTGGAGGTGGGCAGGTCAGGAGGAGGAGGGCCCAGCAGTGTCTTGGGGAGGGGGGGACTTGGGGAATCTTGAGGGTTGCTACAGTGAGGAAGATGGGGCTGGGGACCTGGGGCGAGCTTGGAGTGGGCACAGGAACAGAAGGGCTGGGACCTGTCAGGAGAACTAGGGCTGGGTGGCTGGGTACTTTCTGGGGCAGTGACCTGGGGAGCCTGGTCCACTGGTCAGCCACTGCTCCCAATTTGGAGCAGAAGAAAGGGGAATTGAGGAGAGATCCTTTGCTTCCCCCGTCCCTGGCCCAGGCTCCCACCTCCACCAGCATCTCGATGGAACATGGCCACGTCCAGGTCAGTGGGGCCAGCGTGAGCCTGGAGGCTGTGATCAGTGTGGTCAGCAGATGAGCCATGTCGAACCAGGACATTGTCCCTGGAAATGCAGGAGCCCCCCCCATCAAAGAGGGATGTGATGGGTGCTTTGGCAACTGGGCATCTGTGCGTGCATGTGGAATGGCTCCAAAGGCATTTTGGGGGTGAGGCAGGGAGCCTCTGGGACAGAAGCAGCAACAGAGGCCCAGGTGGGCAAGATGGGATCTGGTAGCGCCCACCCCTGGAGTAAAGGGGCTGCTCTGAGCTGTGTCCCTAGCAGAAGGAGGTCCCTCCACTCACCTGAGGCAGCCACGGCCCCGCTGGCTGTCGTGGTCCTGGGTCCGGCCGGAGCGGGCACTGCTCACCGAGGAGACGGTGGAGGCACCCAGAGTGATGCGGATGAGGCCACTCTCCTCAAAGAGGGCTGTGTTATTGTAAGCCCCAGGCCCCTGGGGGTGGGGGACAGGGTATGAGCCAACCTCAGAGAAGCCTCAAACCCTGGCCTCCTGGGGCCCCCACCCTGATGCCCAGCCTGAGAGCCCCTTACCGTCCCAGGTGCTGGCCTTGCCTCCTCGGGGGCCGCCTTCCTGCCCAGACAGGCGGGTGTCCAGGCGGCCCGAGCATCTGCATTCAGGACACAGAAGAGCAACAGCACGGCCAGGCCCTATGCTCAGCAAGGGTCAGTGAGAGAATGAGTCAGAAAAGGTCAGAGTAGGGCCACCAGGGCATCAGTCAGGGAAAGTCAGCCAAGGCAGCGACAGGTCCGAGGGACACAAGGGACTGGAGCCAGTGAAGGTCAGTGTGGACAGGAGGCAAGCGGCCAGGAGCCTCAGTGTTGGTGAAGGTCAGCCTCGGACCAGCCCCCAGCCCAGTGTCAATCATCTAGTAGGAGGCAGCCCTAGGCCTGGGCTAATGCCCTGCCCAGGGTCGGACCCCCCTGCTGAAGCTCCATGCGGTTGAGGTGACAGAGGGACACCAACATTACCTGGAGCCCACAGAGGCCGGCGTGGAGGTAGTGGAAGGCCAGGACGCTGTGGTTGACCGCCAGGAGGCCGAAGAGCCAGGAGGTGCTGACCAGCAGAAGGAGCAGAAAGGAGCTCCGAAGGGTCCTGCCACAGGAACACGGAAGGACACAGGAGTACACCGAGTCACACAGGGCTCATGTAGGGGACACAGGAGGATGCATAGGGACCAGGCAGGGGACGCACAAGGGACATGGAAGGAAAGGAATTCACATAAGAACATGGAGGTCTCAGGAGAATACTAGGGGATATGAGGTCACAGAAAGAACCAGGTACTCAGAGAGCCACAAGGGGACACGGGGAAAACACACAGGAAGGGGCCATGAGAGAAAACATGAAAGACAGGTGGGAACACATGGGCAGGGGGCAAAGTGAGCCACTCAGGCCAAGGGAGACTCTGGGGAGACAGCAGGGCCGAAGCACACATGGGGCCAGAGTATGTTGAAGGCACCAGAGAGTGACCGCAGGCCAGGGCAGGTGACTTCCGCCCCCTACCTAGAATCTGGAGCCCAGCCTGCACCATGTTCTGGGGACCCCAGACCCCATTCAAGAGGAGTGAGAATCCCCCATGACTCCCAGGCAGCCAACTCACAGCACAGAGGTCTTCTTGGCCTCCCTTTGCCCAGTGGAGCAGGATGCGCGGGCAGCGAGGAGAAACATGGTCCCGTACATCTGGACCCACAGCCAGACATGTGGAGCCGGGCAAGGCAGAGAGAGAGAGAGATGGTGAGGGACAGACAGAGAGACCGAGATTCACAGAGAGAAAGGCAGAACCAGAGAAACACACACACAATATGGAGATCAGAAACAGAGAGAGACAGAGAAGTTTAGGATCATAGAAAAAGTCAGAGATAGGAAACCAGAGAGGAACTGAGAGATGCAGAGACAGAGACACAGGGAGGCAGCGGCGGGGAGAGGCAGCCATCTCTGACCCCAGGCCTCCATCTCCATGCCAGTTGAGAGGGAACAGTAGAGGCCGAGTCCAGGAAGCCTGCAGACTGCCACCTGGCCCCCTCGCCTGACACCACACCTGCAGCACTCCCACCCCCTGCCCCCAGCAAGGGGAGCACACAGGTGGCACCGAGTGCAGGGCACTCACCACAACGACAAGGACAACAGGGCCTGCGAAGCTCCAGATGAGGGGTTCGTGGACTGAGATCCAGCAGAAGTCAGGGTTCCCATAGCCCTCAGGATCTAGGCCGACAGCAAGGCCTGGGGGCAGGGAAGGGGCAGGATGGAAGGGGTGGTTCTAGGGCTGCTGAGCCCCTCATGTGAAGGCAGGATGGACAGCAGAGCAGGCTCCTCCCAGAGAAGGTGGCAGGGGGGCTGAGGTCAGGGTCACGGTCAGGATTGGGGGAAGGGGCAGGGGCAGGCCACGTGATGGGCAGAGGTCAGGGGTCACAGCCTGGATGGGCCAGTGAGCAGGGCCCTCACCCAGCAGCACAGCAGGGACGCCCCAGCCCAGGGCATGGTAGAAGCGCATGGCACCACGGTCCACATTGCGGGGCTCGACCTGCATGCGGTAGAGGTGCAGCCCCTGCACGAGGAGCCACGCGAAGGTGCTGAGGAAGAAGTAGTGCAGGAGGATGGCAACCGCAGTGCACACCAGCTGAAGGCAGGGCAGGGGCATTAGGACCTCGCCTGCTTTGCCCCCTCAGGCCCACCCCGGGCATCTGCTTCCCACCTCTGACCCCCTGAACCACAGCACCTTACCCCAGTATCCTGCCCCACACCCTCGCCCCAACTGGAACATCCCTGACCTCTGACCCTGAGCTCTGGCCCTAGGCCTTCCTGGACTAGCTGAGGTCATCGGAACACAGGTCCCCTGACCCCGACCCTGCACCTGGTTATGGGTCCTATGGATCCCCAGCAGGAAGAGGAGCTCTGCCACCCCCAGGGCAGCTGCCACGTTGGCATGGATCCCACGCATGTTGGACTTGAGGCTGCGCAGGCTCAGCAGGATGGCCACAGTCAGCAGCAGCGCAGCCACAGACACGGCCACAACCACGTGGGTAAACACAGCCAACAGCTCCAGGTCTCCCTCTAGCCGCTGTGGGGACAGGGGTAGTCGTTGGGCACCCCTGCCCTTTGACCTTCGCACTTTCTTGGGACACTGAACACAGCCTCACCTCACGGGGAGAGGCATCCATGAGGACCCCAAAGGTGCCTGTCCGGCTGCAGCGACACCGTGCGTGAGACCCATTCCTGTACACCAGCTCGCAGTCCCGTGCTGTCCACATTCCATGCTGGGCCACCCTGTGGCCACAGGGCAGTTAGACCCAGCAGCCGCTCTGAGGAGTGCCCCATTGCCAGGTGGGGGTTTGTGAGATGGTAGGAGGGGCCCAGGGTGTCTGGAGTTGGGAAGCAGCATTCCTCATGGGGCTGGGTGCACAAGGGCATTAGTAGGGGCCCAGGGACAGGTTGGGCCTCCCAGGGGCTAATAGGGGACTGAGGGTTTCCAGAGCAGAGGTCCTCACGGGCCAGGCGGGTCCCACTGCACGCAGATCGCCTTGCTCCGATTCGCTGTCTGCAGCAAGCGGAACTCGAGGCTGATCGGGGACTCCAGGACACCCCTTAGGAAGCTGCGTCCATGGAACACAGCCACGCTGACCACCGGGGAGTTCATAACAGGGTTCTGGGGAAGCCTGAGGAGACACCCCACTTGGGCTTGAATACTGCAGACCTCCCCAGGCTCTGACTGCCTACCTCACTGTTTCCATGCTGCTCACCGTGGCTGAGACACGGTCTGGGATGCCCCGAGTGGATACTGTTTCCAAGAACCCCTTCAGTCTCCACTGGGCTGCTTTGAGACCAGGGGTCCATGGCCTAGCTGGGGTGTCATGGGTCTGCAGAAATGGCAGGTTCTCTCCAGCTGAGGGGCTTCAGACCCACTGCCCACACTGGGGTCTGAGGCCTGAGCAGCTCCAGACTATTTGCCTCAAACTGCCATCCCCGCCACTGCCAACTAACCTCCATGGGTCAGCCTGTCTTTGCTTGTCTCAATCAGCCAGTCTGACTGTCTGTGACTGGCTCCCACATCTCTACTTTACGTGGCTGCCCCCATGGTGGCTCTGCATCTGTCTACCACTCTGCAATGCTCCCCAGAACACATTTTAGCTGGAAAGCAGCCAGCACAGACAAGGCTCCCTGTAACTATGCACAAGAGCATCTCTGTCTGACTATGATCCTACTCATTTGCCCACTAAAAATGGGGTGCTAGGCTGGGCAGAAACTTGCAGGAAGCTCAGGGTAAAGGGCCTGGGATAACTGCACACATGTACCTGGCGCCCCGGCGTTCGGCCTGGAACTGGGCAGGGAGCAGCCCACCCAAGGTGCGGTAGACAAGGAGGATGACAATGGAGATCCCAGGCTCGGGCTCGGGCTCCAGGGCGGGCAGGGGGGCCGTGCTTGAGGTGGTGGAGTTGTCCGCGCTGCTGCTGCTTGTGGGCAGAACTGCCAGGGGATGGGGAGGAGCCACTGTCAGTGACCTCTGACTCTGAGCACCCACAAACCCAGCTCTGAACCCAACCCAGCATCAAGCATGGGAATTCCTTCCCTGCAGGTCCAGGACTGGAGGATGGGAAAGCAGAAGCCCATGAAGGGAAATGGGCTCCAGGGTCAGATCCTGGGGATCAGGCCTGGGAAGGTCATCTGAGGTGAGGGAGAGGATCTGGTGAGGTGAGCAAGTGCTGGGGCCAGGTGGGTGGAGGGTTGACATGGGAGAGTCTCTCACAGGGGATCTGGCAAGGAGAGACCTGGCAGGAGGGCAATGTGATACCCGGCTTGAGGAAGCAGGACCTGGCCTAGGGGTCACCCAAGGGCTCTCACCTTCATGTGGGGATGGCCGTGGGGACTGGGAAGGCAGCAGCACGTGGGTGTGAGGATCCCAGGCATCCTGGCCTCGGAAGAGGTTGCTGTGGTAACGAGGGTAGCGACGGGTCCCCCGGGATGGACTGGGGCGCTCCATGCGGTCGATGCTGAGCACTGCCCAGGAGGAAGAGGGGTGAGGCCATCAAGGACCGCCTTCCTCTCCATGCTGAGGGTCCCACTCCCTCCTACCCCACACCCTATAGCCTCCTTGCTACAAGCAGAGCCTATTCCTGGAAAGCATTGAGGGTGGCAGCCCAGGCCCCTGCCACTAATGTTGACATCCGTAGCCCCCAGCCCCTCAGACCTCCAGGTCTTCACCCTTTCACAGTCCCCTGCCCCACCCCACCCGCCACATACTGATGTTGGGCGTCACCAGCCCCACAGGATTCAGGTATGTGAGTTCCATATTCCTGGCGAGTGTGGCCGCATACTCCTCCAGGTGCTGCACCAGCCCTGCGCTACCGGGGGAGCCCCCGGGGGCCCGCTGCCCCAGCGCTGCCCACAAGTCCCCAGTCTCCGGAGCAAGCAGTGCAGAGCCTGCCCACAGCAGATTCTGGGAGGAGGAGGAAAGTGGGCTCAGCAAGGTGAGGTTGTGTGAGGGGGTGGGGGGGATGAGGGGTCTGGCCAGGTGCTCGGAGGGGCCCCAACAGGCAAGGGAGTGGGTCTGGGGAGGACCGGGGACAAAGGAGAGCCCAGGGCTCAGGGTCCAGGGTCAGGGGATCGAGAGCACAGGGCATAGCCCTACCTCATTGAAGTGGGCATCCTGAGTGGCTGTCAGCCCAAAGCCCTGCTGGTGGCTCTCAAAGGCCAACAGGTGGGCCAGCAGGCGGGCAGTGACTCGGACATCTTGGCTAAAGTAGTGGTCAGTGTGGCCAGTCACCTCCCGCAGTCTCTGAGCCAGCTTCTTGGCCTCCACAGTATCCAATGCTGTCTTGTTCAGCTCTAGGCCATCCAACTGCCAGGACCAAGATGGGGGCGGTCACTATGGTCCCCTAGGCCTTTCTCAAAAACCTCACAGGAAGGGTCTGGCCAGATTAAAGGGCAACCAGGAAATGCCCAGGTCAAGGGCTGGGGCATGATGTCTGGGGCCTACCACAGGCCTGGGGAAGCTGAGGCCAGGGCTGGGGCCAGGGCCAGGCAGGTCTTGAGTGCAGGGCATGGTCTGGGCAGTCTCACCAGCAGATTGAGTTCTCGAAAAGCAGGGGAGGTACAGTTGAAGAGGTCGGGCTCCAGCCAACCCTGGTCCTCATCACATAGCCGCACAGCAGCACCTGGGGGCAGGCAAGCCCTGGTCAGGCCTGGGGCCTGAATTCCTTTCTGAGAAGGTGACCACAGCATCTTCTCCCATCTCAAAGGAAGCTCTGAGTCAGAGCCCCGAGTACTAGGCATCTGTGTCTAGACCCCGGATGGAGCCGCCCCAGGGCCCAGCCCAGGCAGGCTCCAGCTGCTGTCAGTCAATTCCTGAAAGGTCTGTGGACCATTCTGAACCCCCAACTATAAAGGTGAGCACAAGGGCAGGGCTGTGCACACGTCCACACCCACACCCACACACAGGCCAGGGAAGGTGCACAGACACGTGGCCCAGGGCAAGCACGCATGCGTGTGTGCACATACACACACACCAGTGCTCATATCTGCACACACACAGATGTGCGGAGCAGGACAAGCACAAAGCCACACAATGCTCTTTCATACACACATACACAGACATGCTGACACACATCAGATCTTCCAGTACTTTGTGACCAAACTGTGGTGGGGGTAGAAGTTCTCCCACAAGTTTTAACTGCCCAAGTGGTGGCTTTGCTGCCATCTCTCCATTGTCTGTGGGATTGGGATGGGGATTGTATAAGAATTGACCTGGACCATAAGGGAGCCTGTAGCCATCAGCAAGAGGGATCCTAACCTTAACACAGAATCCTCTCCCCCCAAGACAGACTCAAAGACAGGTGCGCAGGCACAGAAAGACACACACACGTGCATGCATACACAGATAATCTCTGTCCAGCCACTGCGGGGACCTCAGGCAAAGAGGAGGGCTTGGGGGAGACCTCAGGCAGTGGGGAGGAGCCTGCAGGAACCTCAAAGCAGGGGTCACCTTTTGAGAACTCAGACAGTAGGAAGATACCTGCAGGGACCTCAGGAACTGAGGTTTCTGCAAGGATCTTAGGAAGTGGGAAGGGGTTTCCAGGGTTTCAGGCAGTGGGGAGGGGTCTCTGAGGACCTTGGGCATCAGGGAAGGGGCCCTTGGGTCCTCAGATAGCAAGAAGGGGCCTCTGGGGACTTCAAGCAATTAGGAGTAGCTTTTAGAGACCTCAGCAGCGGGGGTGGGTCTGCAGGGACTTCAGGCAGCAGGAGGGATCTGCAAAAGCTTTGGCAGTGGGAGGGGGCAGCGCACCTGAGCAAACACGTACCCCTTACCTGCACCCCGCAATCCTGCCCAGAAGCCAAGAGAAACAGATGGAGGCTCGGTGAGGTGTAGGGAGGGGCCCAGAGCCCCTAGGAGGTAATGAAAGGCCCACATGAACCCCTACCCCACTCCCACCTCTTTGCAGGAACAAGGCCCACCCCCCACACTCAGCAATCAAAGAACAGGCCCACCCCCCACACTCAGCAATGCACCTGCTCCCTAGGTACTCACCCAGGGCCCCCCGAGGACAGGGCACTGAGGCCAAAATGCCAAACTTGGTCTGGGGCCACCATACTCCAGATCGCAGGGACTTGGGGCATGCATCATAGAGCACTAGGGACAAAGGAGGCACTGAGCCAAATGGCTAGGGGCAGGGGCAAGTGACAGCCATACCCACTGTCTCTCCACCACTCAACCCAGGCCCATAGCCCACCACTCCCTTGCTTGCCTCACAGGAGCTGACTTGTCAGATTCAGTGACAGGTCATCAAAGTACTTGGACCAAATGTGGGGACCCCTGGGTGTCAGTGTCTCCTCAGAGAAGCCCCCCAGAGTCCCTACCCAAGGACCCAAGCATGCCATGACCCTTGATGGCAGGCAGTAAGCCAGAACTCGCCTTCTATACGTGGAGCTTGGTGGAGCCTGCTCACCTCGGCAGCCACTGGCTGTCACCTCTGCGAAAGGACTGTCACAGCTGTTACACTGGCGGCCAAGAGCTCCTGGGCGACAAGGGCACTGCCCATTGTGGGGTGCACACGAGCGTGAGGTGGAGCCCACAGGGTAGCAGTCACACGGGAGGCATGAGTCGCTGCCCCGCGGTCGGTAGTGGAACTCCTGTTTGAGAAGGGGTCAGGTGCCTGCGGTCAGAGACCAGAGCTTGAGGAATGAGAAGAGTCAAGGACAAGGGGTCAAGGCAGCCACGCCCCAGGCCAGGAGGAAGAGTGGGCCTCAAGTGAAACTTAAGGGAGAGGTTAGATGTCAAGGACAAGGGATGGATAAAGGGTCGGGGCCTGAATCAGGGGCAGAGGTCAGCAAGCTGGATAAAAATCACAAATCACAGCTAGGGAAGAGTTAAAAGGTCAGGGGTCAGGAGCCAGGCACACCTTGCAGTGACACTGCCCATTTGTCTTGTTGCAGTTGGGATCAAAGCCCTTGTGAACATCACAGTTGCAGGGGCCACAGGTTGGGCTCCCCCACCAGCCTCGAGGGCACTGCTGGTCCATCCTAGGGGTGGACGGCCAGGTGAGATGCCTCCATGATATCGTAGTGACCCTCCTTAACCCACACCAGGTCGTCCCATCATCTCAGCCCATAGCCCCTCACCTGTGCTCACAGTGGTGCCCGAAATAACCACCTACACAGTCACAGGTATAGCCATGGGGGGCTCCTGGGAGGTGCCGGCATGAGCCCTGGTTCTGACAGGGGTTCAAGAGGCAGGCGTCCACACAACCTGGGCCGTAGTAACCTGCAGGTTGGGTCAGAGAACTCAGGACACTGGTCACAGAGCATGGGAGGGAGCAGGCACCTGTCCTTCTCAGGCTCCTCCTCCTCCAGGCTCTCCGGGTCCCCCAGTCTTCATAATGAGCCACCCAGATCACACCACCTCCCAGGCCCTACCTGGCCAACATTTGCAGGAAAAGGTCTGCCAGAGGTCTCGGCAGTCAGCATGGGGTGGGCAAGGCCCAGATGCACAGGCATTATTCATGACACAGCCGGGTTCCACATTCACTCGCTGGGTGGGGGGATGCAGGGCTGGGGACCCTGAGGGTGTGGAGCCAAGCCATACCCCCTACGAACACAACCAGCCAGAGGTGAGACCCACGTCAAAGCACCTCAGACCCAAGTCCTGCAGAGCAGCCACCTGGTCTGATGGCCTGACATGCAGTCTCCCTAAAAACCCCAGACCCTGACCCCAATATCCCTAATTCAGCCCTCCATAGGACCCCTAAGTGTGCTATCTCTGAAACAGACCTCTAAGGACCCTTGATAATCTGAGCTAGACTCACCTCCAACAGCACAAAAAGGCTTGATCTGTCTCTAACGGCTCTGGGGCCCCCCACCCCGCTACTATCTCTCATGTGAACCCAGCTTTTCAGGTCCCAAGGCCCCCTGATCTCTGACCACTCACCCTAATGCCCCATATCATGTTCCCATGCTGACTCCCACCTGGACACAGCCAACCAGACCCTGAGGAACCTCCTCTTCACTGCTTGGGGGTAGGCCTCCCACATGGAGTCGCTTTACTTTCAGGCCCTGCAGCTCACTCCCCACCGCCATGGTGTCCTGGGGGAGGGGGACAGTCAGCACTGGGGATGTGGGAGGGCCCCTGCGCTACCCAGGGGACCATCTTGGCTTTGTCCTAGCCCTGCACAACCATGCTTTGTCCCTCTGTACCAGGGGCATGGTTTGGGAATGAGCTGCTCTTGAGCATGGGGGACCTGTTGGAGCATGGAGGATGGATGTCAGGAAGGTTTCAGTCAAGAGCTGGGCTCAGATAGGCCCCTTTCTCTTGGACCAGAAGAGACCCTGAAATCCCATGCTTTTGAGTCCAAGAGATCAGGAATCAGAAGGGGTTTCCAGGAGTTAGGCAAAGTGCTGACTACCCCAAGACCAGGCCAGAAATCTGGGTAGCCTCCCTGACAGGAGGAGGGCCTGGCGGGGGACCAGCTGGGCTGGCAGGATGGGCTCAGAGTAGAATATGAGGGGGCAGACTTCAGGGAAAACATCCGACTACGTGCAGGGGAGGGAGCTGAGAGGAGCTGGACTAGAGGTGGGGTCAAAAAGGTGGTCTGGTTGGAAGACAGAATGGACTACTCAGGGCTAGAGGTGAGACCTGGAAGAGGCTGAAGTCCAATGAGACCATGAAGACATGGTGGCCCCGCCGGCCACCTGGGTCCTCCTGTAACTCCAGCCGAAGATCATGCCATCGGCCGTCACTGACAGTCACCTGGTCCAGGAGGAGGTGGGCAGCACGGCCCGAGCCCCTGGTCACTGTCAGGGACAGCAACCCCCGATCCAGCTGTGGGTAGAGAGGCATAGACCTGAGGCCAGAGCCCCAAGTTTGGCTGGGGCTGGGAGTGTCAGGAGGTGAGATCAGGGCACATAGAGGTCAAGAATATCAAAGGGTAAAACAGCAGGAGCAAGGCTCTATCTGGCACATACGGCACTGTGCCCAGGGACACTATGCCGCTGAGAGATTAAGGGGCAGAGGGCAGGACCAGAGGTTGTTGAGTGGTAGAGTTAACACAGAGAGCTATGCTAATGCCTTGCACCTGCAGAGAATACCATGGTGGCAAAGAGGGTCAAGGCCAGGGTCCAGAGCAGGGTCAAGGATGGTCAGTACACCTGGCAGAGAAGCATGCTGTCTGACTAGGCCCAAACTCAACAGGAATGTTGCTGGTGGCATTAGTGATTGAGAGCTGAACTAAAGGCCTAGAGAGGAGTCAGAAGGACAGACACACCTGACAGAGGAGCGTGCTGTGTGGCCCAGCCTGCACTTGCATCAGGACCCCATGCGTTGCCCGTGTCCGAAATGCCAGCCCCAGGTACCATGGCACAGACACAGCCATGTCATTTCCGAAGTCCCATCGCAATGAGCCATTGCCGAGGAAATGGTGGGGATGGGCCATGGCTGGGGAGGTGAAAGGAGCAAGGTCACAGACTCCACCTCAGGAACAGAACATGCCCTGCAGGCCCCTCCTGCCCCATACTGCCCACTCACTGAGCCGACAGTCCTTGCCACCAAAACCCACAGGACAGTCGCAGCTGAAGCCACCCCACCGCTCTGAGCAGAAGCCATTGTTCTTGCACGGGTTTGAGTCGCAATAGTGGAGTTTGGCCTGGCAGCCTGGGAAAGGAAGTCACATGGAGGATATGAGACATGAGGGGGGCACAAGCACTAGACAGAACCTGGGGGTCCAGAGGGGCCTCAAGTGGCCATCATCTCAGCCCCATAATCTCTCAGGGGTGGACTTGGTAGGAGGCTGGCCCTCCTGATCTGTGGCATGGAGGTTGCCATCAAAGGAGACAGTGAGTGAGGTCAGATTTGGATCCACTCCATGTAGCCCTCCACCCCACCCCTATGATGGGGACATGGCCTACCTGCCATAGTGCCATTGTTTGCGACGAAGGCCGCCATGTCTACTTGGCGGCCATCAATGTGTAGATCCCGCATGCAGCCGACGAAGTCCTTGTGGGACACAGGGAAGTTCTCGGGGAGGTTGGGGACACCCCCCAGGAGCAGAGGACCTGTCAGGTCCAGGGACCTGGGGGTCAGGGGTCCAGGTCATTGGTGGGACTGGAGCCAAGGTAGGGTTGCTCCTGGGGGGCCACAGGAAGTGGGGGGGGTAGGACTCAGAGGATAAGGTGATTTAGGAGGGAGGGTAAGGCCAGGCTGGGGGAGCAGCTGTGGCTGTACTTCAGTTGGGGATGTAAGAGAGCTCATGATAGGCGCAGGGTCTGGGGAAAGGTGGAAGAGCTGGGGTTGAGGGTTAGGATGAAAGAGTGAGGCATGTAGGTGCCTAGGGTAGCAGATGGAGAAGTGAAGGTTAGGTAGGGTTTCAGGGTCCTAGCGGGGAGAGGAAAATCTGGTGGTTTGGGGGAAGGATGGGGAGTTTGGCAGGCTGGAGTGAGAAGTGGGGTATGTGAAGGGTTGAGTGGGCTTTGGCAAGCAGAGGGCATGAGGACCAGGGCTGGGGGCCTCACTTCTTGGAGCTTGTTTGCATGCCAGCAGCTGCACATGAGTAGTTTCCAATCTCAGCACCAAATTGCAGAGCCACAGCCACATCGCAGTCATCCACACTCAGCACGGCCACCTTGTCCTTGGAGGGGCCCTGAGCACCCCCCAGGGCATCTGTGCGGGGCTAGAGACCCAGGCACTCCACTCAACAGGACCCCCAGGGTGACCCCTGGGGGGCAGAATTTGGCATCCCAGCTCTCCCCATGCTCCCAGGCCAAGGGTGGTGCCCACCTTGTTGTAGTATCTCAGATGCACTGTGTGCCACTGCCCGTCACTCAGGCCCCCTGGAACTGTGGGGCTGACCACCGTGTTGGACTCACCTATTGGGGTGATGCGTGTGGAGGGTTGTCTGGAACTGCTAAGGTGATCCCCCCCCCAGTCATGTAGGCCCAGCTTACTCCCAGGGTGACCCTGGATGTATCAGATCCCCCCCCCCCACATTCACATTGGTGACCACACCGGCTGGACCAGAGGGCCTCTGGGCAGACAGGAGAAGCACACACCTCTTGGAGAGATGGACTTTCCCACAGGGAATCGGGTCCTCACTAATGGCTGTTCGGCATGGAGGTGCATGTGCAGGTGTGCAGTGAGGCAAGCCTGAGGGGGCTGGGGGCTTGCACCGCCCCATCTCACCCACGCAGGCACCCACACACGTCCTCGTGGCACCCACCTGTGGAATACGTGAGCCGCACCTGCCCGGCCACCAGTTCCAAGGCCAGGAAGTCGTGCTTCTCGTTCAGGCGCCCGTTGTAGAAGAGCAGCCCACTTGGCTGCGCGGTGGCAAACCTGGGAGGGGTGGGCAGGGCAAGTCACAAGCCGCACACCTCACACCCACCATCCCCGCGACAGGAAGGCTGGCGGGGAGGAACCCAGGCTGGGGTAAGAGCGGGAGTGATGGGGGGGCCGGTGAGCGAGGCCGCGCAGCGGC